GGGGGGGGGGGGGGCATGTAACAGTCTTGCTTTGGTATTTATTATTGAGGGTGTAATTTTGGTTTATTATTTATTATCAATCAAGAAGAGAAATGAGTGTACTATATGTTATAAATTTTGCTCACCTCATTAAAGTGTTATAAACTTTGCATTTTATATATTGGAGATTATCCAGAAATGATAAAGAAATGTGATTATTCCATCTGAGAGTTGTTGAAGTGTGAACCATTTCAGAGATTACTTACTTTATGTCTACAACACCCTACCTCAAATGTGGGTCTAATTCTTTCTCTTGGTCCAAGAACATGTAAATACTTTTATCACTGGGTGAAAATAAGGATCGAACTCAGGATTTCTACTTAAACAATTAAAGAGGGGAAACTTTTATTTCTTTATTTTTTTTTTGTCTACAAAAAGGGAAATAATTGAACATCCAACTCAAACCTTAAGTTGAGTAGCTCAAACCTTTTATAAACTCCTCTGAATGGCTTATTGCTGATGTGAGATATTATATAATTCAACACCCTCCCCTATATGGGGTTTACACATGGATTTTTATGTGGATTTACAAATGGAATTGCATAGATATCATGTGAAACAATTTGAGCATCCAATCCAAAATATGAAGTCAAGACCTTTTGGGCTCGTTTGGTATGAGGGATAAGGAATAATTAATCCCGGGACTAAATTTAAGAAGAGTTTATCCCATGTTTGGTTGGTAGAAAACTGCGGTACAATTAATCTCGGGATTAATTATCCCAGGATTGTAGTGTTTTTTATCCCCATGGAAAGGTGGAATAACTAATCCTGGGATAACTTCTTTCCAACCAAACGACCCCTTACAAAGCTCTCCGGTTGCCCTTATGTACCCAATGTGGGATATAAATTGTTCAACAAAGAGTAGTAGTATTCTGAATTTAATGTAGGGTTCTCAAAAGTTAGCCTTTGTTTGCTAGAGTGTTCTGTATCTTTTAATCTCCATTCTTCATTCTAATGTTCAGATGCTTTAACAACATGCTGATAGTTTATACTGTTGCTCAGTGCAGTCCTACATCAAGTTTTTCTAACAATCATCGATATAACAATCACACAAATTTCAACCCCACACACCACTCCCAAAAGAAAATAAATAAATAAATAGGCCTTTTCTTGCTTATGCTCTTTAGCTGGAAATTCAGAATGAAATCCCAGCAATCCTAGATTATGACGTTTTTAAGCAAACCTCTGTCAAGGTATCACCAATCATCACCAGATAAATGCAAAACTATCCATCTTTAGCATAAGCATGAAATGTCAAACCATAATAATAATTTATAAATCATGTATAAAGGTATTATCTTCTTCACTTAATTCCTAATAATTCTATCGAACCATCTATGTCTGCTAATAGTTTGCCACCAATCATCACCAGTCAGCAGGACTTCTGAGAGAAGTACTTAGAAAATAGAAAAGAGACAGTAAGACATGATGTTCTCAAGTATCTAGCGCTCAGCAATCCCACTGGAGATCGTTTAACACTAAATCACCAAAACACCTGACCTTTTGAAACTAGCCTATCCTAAATATTACTGGAGACATAAAATGCTCGTAAGAACCTTTTTTTGGGCACTTCACTTCCACTAAATGCACCAGAAATCCACCAGAGTTTTAAAGTTTTAAAGGTTCTTTTATCATTAGCAGGTAAGCCTCTGAGAATATATTACGGCGAAAGGAAATAAATCATTGACTTCGCAGAAGACCATACGTTCATGCACATAACACTATATAAGTGCCACTAATCACCAGAGCCCCTTATAAATGAATAGCTGAAGCCAACTGATTTACATCCTAAGAGATTTGGAAGATTTTAGTATTTATCTTATTAGATGAGGTTAATGTCTTTTTAGAGTAGATCTTATATTTATTATTAGCTAGATTAGATTTTTACATCGAACCTTTATCATTATCCCTTGTTCGATTTTACCATTATCTTTTTCTTTTCTTAAAAGAACAGGAAAAAGGTTAGTAAATAAGATTGACGTTATCTAACTTTGCCTTATCTTTGGTTTTATTTTATCTCTTATTTAGAGATAAAGTTCTGTTGTATTAGGATTCTATCTTGTGCAAGGTTCTCTATATATAAACAGGACCCTGAGACCCTCCTTTCAATTTGATGAACCACTTCATTTGATAAATTATATTTTATGAGTTGATTCCTTCTCTCAATCACTATCTCTCTGTATTTGTCTCCACGTTCTCCCTCCTTCCTTTTGGTGCTACATCAATATTAGTATCAGAGTGCAAGATTCTTACACAAACTGTTGCATCTTCAACACCATCAATTATAAGAATATCACCTCTAAACAAATTCCGAAACAAAAGAAAAAGAAGAGCGAATAATTCTTGCTCAAATTGCCTTGCACCACTCTAAGTCACATAACTCCACCCATAATAAGTGATAAGCTCATGCTTCACATCATTCTAGAGCTTTAAGCAATGAAACAATCACTTTCTGCTAAGTACAAAACATTCTTCATACAGTTCCATGGCATCCTAGCTTAGTATGAAGCCACATCAAAGGAGAAAAAAGGCTTTCACTCTTAGAGAAGGTTTGCCACCTTACCCCCTTAGAAGATGTACAGGACTTTCCCCAACCTCATTTCCTTACCAAAAGTTGACTCCAATTACCTTATTTAACTAAATTATCACTTCAAAGATTTTGATACGTAACTTCACCAAAATAAGCTCCCTCTAAGAGTTGGTTTCATTCCTCTGCTATATTGCTTCTTTTTAGTAGAAATTTGCTACCTTGTCACCCACTTAAGTTATTGTTTTCCTTCTGTCAGTCAAGATGAAGAGGATTAAGATCAAAACACTAGATTTTAAATAGTCTCTGTATTCCTCTGACAAATAACATCCTTTTATTTCTTTGTTGCACACTACCGGAACACAAACGTGAATGGCAACTTTGCACATACTAGCTATGCTTAAAATTACCACAATGCTTAGTCTATTCCAATTAGACTCCAAAGACTTCTCTATCATATTTAACATTCACATCATGTGCCACTTAAAGCAGCTCAATAGCAAAAGAAAAGAATAATTCACTCTCCCGTGACTGCTATAAAAATTCATTCACATTTGCAGCCATCTTATACATCAGGGAATATAAATATGGGCAGTTCAATTCAAAGAAAGCGACACCCGCAAAACCCCTAAAGTTGGGGCCATCAAGAATCATATGATCGGCCAAAGAAAAAACCACCACCCATTACCAAATTTCTTCATCCAACAGAATTGACACCTCACACTGTGGTCTCTACAACTAATATGTCTTAGTCCTAAACAAGTCGAGATCGGCTATATGAATCCTCACCATATTTCTCCATTTAAGCTCAACCCATGTCAATATCAGATCAAATAAAAAAATGAAAAATAAGTTAAATATATATAAATAATAACAACAACAATATTACAAGTTCTGTATATTTTTACTGGCATATGAATCTATGATAATGTCATAGTCTGGTGTGTCCTGCACAAAATACCAAGTGATAATTGTACAAACAGGACAAATATTCAACAATTATTTAACCATAATATACTTTTCAAGAACTCAAATTCTTGAGTAATTCAAATTTCTATTTTTAGTACTTCATATTTCAAAGAACCAATTGAAAGTTTCACAAACCTAAAGGAGAAAAAGAAAAGACAAGAAAATACTAGGGTTTTGTACCTTGCATTTTCCTAAAAGCTGAAGCGAAATGAAAATTCAATCTAATCTACATATTGCTAGTGCTTTTTTCTCCTCTGAGGCTGTTTCTCAGTTGCTAGCCGATAAATCCAGTACACCTACACCCAAATTCAGTAAATGCTTCAAAAAATCACACTATGTACTAGTGCAAAACACACACACACAGACACACACAGTGAGTGAGAGATAGGGAAAATATACCAAAGCGAGCACATGAGCAGCGATTAGTATGACTACTAGAAGAGGTACGACTTCGAGTATCCATGGCCTACTCGATGCTTGCTGCTGATTCGCCATATTCAAGATCACTGCCAAAGCTACAACACTAGAGAGAATTTGTTTATACACAATGTTTTATTCTACTTCTAAGCTTTTTTAATGTTAAGAGATTTATATACTGGTTAGTGCACTTATCTTTATACACAATCAATAAAACTTATACCTGCAATTTTTGTTTTTGTAAATGACTTAATTGTGTAAATAATTTTTTTAAGATAGTAGTGTATAATGCTTATCTATAATAACTTATACTTTGTTATCTAATATCTTTATACACAATCACTAAAACTTATACCTGCAATTTTTTTTGTAAATGGCCTAATTGTGTAAACAATTTATATAATATTAGTGTATAATAAATTTTCTTATATATCAATGTAGTTTAACTAATTATAGTAAATTTTTCAGGTTATCATAATAAAGAATTACCTATTACTATAAGTTAAACTTGTAAAGGAGAACAACCAACCCGTATTATTGACCATAATAAGGTATTTATCCAAGAGTTGATAAGTATATAATTACATAAATAATCCTTAGCCTTGATGAAATTCAACCGGATGATGATACACCCACTAGTCATGCTCCTAATGTTAACCCAACTAGTGATAACCATGCTAATCCAAATGATAACCCATCTGATACTCCTGTTACTGCCCCTACTTTTTCTAGACAACCTACCAAACGGGCGGAAAAATCTGATGTTTGGCCATTTATTACTTAACTAGTTCCAAAAAATAAGGCTAAGTGTAAAACTTGTGGTATGGAGTTAGCTTTTAAATATTTTGCATCGCGGGGGAAAGGGGGAACTTTGGCTAGACGCATAAAAAACCACCCTCAAGATAGAGTCAGATATCTTCGTCTGAAAGCTTTGGCCGAGAGAAAAAGTGTACCTAGTCCTAGTCAGGCTGACCCTAGTAACGGTTCAAATCTATTTCAACCGGAAATTAACACTGTTACCGGTAGTATTTTATATTATGATCTGAAAAAAGATCGGGAATAATTGGCAAAAATGGTAACTGTTATGTGCTTACCCTATAGTTTCCTTCTGACCCTTCGCTTGTGCATTATATTAGAAAATATTTTAATCCTACTTATAAAGGTTTTCATCGCACAATCATAAAGAGCGATATCTATAAATATATAAATATTTGCGCTATTTATTTACTCATATAAATTATCGTGTTGCTATTAAAACTGATATTGGTAGAAGTGGCAACGACTGTGATTACCTTACTGTTATCAGTCATTAGATTGATGAGGATTGGATAATACAAAAGCGTATAATTGCTTATAGAATAACTGCTTCACGTCACACATGGCCGTTTATTGCTAGCGTAGTTACGAATATTTGTAGATATTTTTGCATTAGTGATAAAATAATATCGGTTTCGATGGATAATGCTACTAATAACACAAATGCTATAGACTTGCTTACCACTACGCTAAATCCTGCATTTAGTAACATTTTTCATGTTAGATGTATTTGTCATATTTACCATTTAATTGTGGGTGATGGTATGAGAATTTAAAATGTTCGAATTGAAAAGGTTAAAATGGTTCTTAACTAGATTTTTTATTCAAACCATAGAAGTAGACTTAGAGAATATTTTAAAAGATGCGATGAATGTGGCCTAAGAGAAAGAGAGGTTCCTAAACCTTGTTCAACTAGATGGAATTACATGTATGAAAGTTTGGTTGTTGCATATGAATATAGAAACCCCATAAACTCAATGTTTTAATGCACATGTAAGTGATGATGATGAGCACCTTACGAATGGGGATTGGGCTAGTGTTAAAATGTTTGTTGATTTTTTAGAAAAATTTCATATTTCTACAAATGAATTTTCTGGGCAGTATTATCCTACTATTTCTAACTGTTTAGTTTATATTGCAGAACTTGCAAATTTGTTTGCTCATTTCAAAGGGTGGGGAAATTTATAAACTTGCTATAGATTCTATGAGAAAAAAGTTTAAAAAATATTTTTCCCCTATTCCCCCTATTTATGGTTTTGCTGCTTTATTAAATCGTTGTATGAAATTAGAAGGTCCTCAATTTTGGAATGAAACTGTTTATAATGGTTTAGCACTTGAAGATGATGAGTTGGCTCAACTTCCGGAAGTAATAACCTCAATTAGAATACATGCTCAAACTCTTTATAATGCTTATCAAGTTGCATTAAACCATGCTAGACCAAATATTTCAACTCCTTCTTCTTCTGATTCTCAATCATCTAAAAGAATTGCGGGAGTAAGAGCACTTAGTGCTTGGGCGAGGTTTAGGGGTTCTCAAGATTCTAGTAGTAATGATTTTTCACAACAAAATAAGCTTGAAGTTTATTTATTGCAAGGAATTGAGGAAGTGAATCCCGACGGCTCCTTTATCTTTTGCAATGGTGGAAGGAAAAAGAAAAACACTTTCCGGTTCTTTCAAAGATGGCCCGAGACATTTTAACTATTCAAGCTTCAACAGTGGCATCGGAGAGCGCTTTTAGTCAAGCAAGACTTCAAGTCGGTGATTATAGAGCGTCTATGAAGGAGCGCTTGGAAAAATCAGTACTCGTCAGAGATTGGATCCGTTCGGAAAGAAGAAATTTTGGACTTGTTGAATCACAACCAGAGGACGACAAAGCTTACGAAGAAATGCTAGCTGAACTTGCGAAGGATGATGTTTCGCCCAACAATGGAAGCGGCGATGACCGAGCTACTTTTCCGCCACCACCAACGGAAATTGCTCCGAACCTTTAAGGATTTATGAAGTTTGTAAGAGATAACATGTAACTTGTATGAACAAAAATTAGTATGTATTATGTAACTTGTATTTTGGCACATCTTGATTAGTTTCTTTTTCTTCTCAATGGTGGTATTAGTGTCACGACCCAATTCTCATACCCGGTCGTGATGGCGCCTCTCGTGAAGACAAGGCCAGCCAACTAACCCAAATCCTTTCACTAACTATTATTAAACATAAATGAATAGAAGATACAACTTAATGGCATTAGAAATTGTTAATTACTACCCGACCGGGGTGTCACAAGTCACGAGCATCTAAGGAAACCTTAACACAACTACAGGCCAATAAATATACAAGTAAAATTTCTGGAAAACAAAAGACAACATCCGGTGCCACGAACGCTGGCGGTCACCTTGCTCAGCTACAATAACAATACCTTCAATCCGCTAATAACCCGCTACCGGGTGAATGATACCTGCAACTGCACGCGAGGTGCAGGGAGTAAAGTGAGTACTTCCAACTCAGTGAGTAATAAACATATATAATGGCTGAAAGTAAGAAATTTCAAAATATTACAATATAAAGCTATAATCAACGATTCAGCACATAAAACGGTGGAACAACAACAATACCAGGACAAGTAAGACAAATAGGTATAAATGCATGAATGCAATGCAATGCACATGACCGTTGCGGCGCGCAGCCCGATCCATTTGGGTACCCGCGCTCACTGTGGGGGTTCAGACTCCGGAGGGGCTCCTACAGCCCAAGCGCAATATCATCGTAGTATTTGCTGCGACGTGCAGCCCGATCCACACTCAGTCCATATATATATATGCATGCAAGCCACTTGGGCACAGTCAAATTGTTCATTTTTAGTTTCAATTATTAGGAATTATAGAGCTAAGTGTTTAAACCTTTATTTATTTACTAAACATTTCGAGGCAGTGTCTAACTCAGGACTGATATCATGAAATATGCCAAGCATCATGGAAGCAGTGATAAGGATCCCTAAAGGATGCAAATGATAGGCACAAAGCCCCAAATATATTCATAAAATCCAAGTAGGATGATTACCAAACAATTTCTAGTCAAGAACACAGTACGAACATCAATCGGAACGGACTAGGTCACAAACCCCAGTCACAATCGACCCCGCACTCGTCATAGAGTACGTGTCTCGCCTCAATATAGCGTCACAATGTGATATACCGGGGTTTCAAACCCTCAGGTCATCATCTACATCTATTACTCACCTCAAGCCGCCCACAAGTCTAGCTCGCTATGCCTTTGCCTTTCGAATCAACCTCTTCGCATGCCGAATCTGATTAAAACCACAACGAATACATTACAATAGGCTAAAGAAACATAACCCAATCGAAAAGACTCGAAAAAACACCAAAATTCACTAAGTTGGCAAAAATCGAGCCCCGGGCCCACTTCTCGAAATCCAGAAAACTTTACATCAAAATGATCCTTATCTCGCCACGAGTCTATACATATCAAACTCACAAGAATCGGAGTCCATTTGACCCCTCAAATCATCAATTTAAGCTCTCTTAAGTTTCAAGCCCTAACCTCCATTTTTAGCATTTAATCCCTTAAATTTCAGTGTTCAATCCATGATTTTACACTATATAAACATAATGCGAGTCCAATAGTTCATACCTGATGAAGCCCCTTCGAATTCTCTTCAAAATCGCCCAAGAAACAACCTAAGTGATAACTATGATTTTAACACGTTTTATGCCCATACTTGCCTATGCCTTATGTATGAATTGTCATGAAAGACTCAGAATGCTTACAAAGTGCGCTTGATTGCAGATTTGAGCGACAAGATGACGAAAGTCAAGAACCAGCTCGAAACGGAGTGAAACCTGCTCAAGTATCAAAAATCATTGAAGTAGGGACATGAGGACCTAGCGCGGACCGCACTGATTTGTTGCGCGGCCGCGCTAGGAGATTCAGAGAGCACCCATTTCAGGAGTCTCCAAGCGCGGTCAGCGCTCATTTCTACGCGGTCAGCGCTG